TGGGTTAGCGTCCCAAAAGCAAAAGCTTTTCTAGTGGATTTGTATATATATATATAATTAAAATATTACTATATGAAAAAGGGTACACAGTACACAGTACAGGTATAAACTGCGCAAAAAAGGCATAGATTCCGGACCTGCCCCCTAGATCCTAGTTTTTTGCTGGCCAGGGTATCGCCCTTTGTTGGAATTTTTATTTGCTATATATACTATCCTCATCAAGCCAGACTCAAAGGGAACAGTTGAATGGCGGATCCTGGAAAAATTTTAGGGAAGGCTGAACAAAAGTGCGACAGCAACGTACCTCTGACTGCTGCTCGATCTTAAGTCTCAGCCCCACCTACACGATAAAACTTTGTCTAAAAATTTAGGGGGCTCCAGGGCTCCGGTATCGGTAGGAGGGGCTCGAGCCCCCCCCCCCTCCCGCGTCCCACTGTTGAATCCTCCGCTGATTGACAACTGAGTTTTCGATCCATTTTATTAGGTGCTCACATTTGCTCTATTTATTTAGTTTTGATTTTTTAGAGTATATGGTTTTGTTAGTTTTAAATATGCTGGCTCATAGTATTGGAAATACTCTACTCTTTTCTTCCTTGAATAAAAGATCAATCTCTATATAGTTGTCTTAAGTTTGACCTTTTTAGTTAAGTTTGGTCAATTATAGAAAAGAGTGCAAAGATTATTGACATTAATAGCGTGTTTGGCTTCCTCCTCAGCGGAGCCTAGCTCGCATATACTACCAATCAGGCTTGTGCAGGGATTTGCTCAACATATGCAACTGCTCTTTGTTTGGTTCACTGAATCTGGAGAACCAGGTTAAATAATGCATTTGTTTAGTACTAGTTAATTTTTACCATGTTAAATTGAAATGAAAAACAAGTACTAACATAATATGGTATCTTGTTTGCATACTAGTTCATTTTATCATGTTATAACTTATAAGCCTTAGGCCTCGTTTAGATTGTAAATTTTTATAATCTGGACACTGTAGCACGTTTTGTTTGTATTTGACAAACTTTGTTCGATCATGGACTAACTAGACTCAAAAAATTCGTCTCGTGATTTACAACCAAACTATGCAATAGTTATTTTTTTTACCTATATTTAATGCTCCATGTATGTGTCTAAAAATTAATGTGATGGAAAGAGTGAAAAAAAAAAGGATATTTGGGATGAACTAAACACGAGGCCTAACATATGTATAGTATCTTGTTTGAAACATACTAGTTAATTTTACTATATAAACGGATTTCATTTCAAACATACTACTACTACTCTAATCGGACAAATTTCCTGTCAATAGGCGTACGGTGACGCCGAATATATGACGTGGGCGTGGCAACGTGACATGACAGAGGGCTCCGGGCTCCGGCAGCGAGCCAGGCACGGAGGGAGCGGGTGTGGGAGACGGATAGGGACGGAGGATGATGCGACGGATGAGAGCGTGCGTGACGCGCAAGAGGCCAAAAAGAGCAGAGCAGTGAGCAGAGCACAGTCGACCAGTCGTCTCGTCTGAGCCGGCCGGGCGGGCAGCAGGGAGGGTGATGCACGGGTGACGAGGGAAGGCAAGGGAAGGGAAGGGAGGCGACGACGGACGGCCTGACCGTACCAGCTGCAGCTGGGTCGCCGGCGCCGGCGCCGGCCGCCGGGGGACAGGACAAGACAACCAACAACCGCGTTGGCATGGCATCTGCGCACAGGTCCTGTTCGTTTGAAGGTACCGTAAAATAATAGTATTTTTCTCTCATAACAAATTTTTTCTCATAATAAATCAGTATAAACATCAACATTATCCGTTTTTTCGTCAACCGAACAGCGACGAATCTGATCCGAGCTCACTCCCGCATCCAGCCCACCGTGTCCGTGTGGCTTCCACTTCTTCTTCTTCGGGCAATCGGGCATCCCACCCATAGGCCACTAGGCAGCATCCTTTCCTCTCCATGCACCATCCACGATTCCATTTTTCATTGATTTGACCAATTATGGACTAAGAGGCTCAAAAGATCCGTCTCGTAATTTACAATCAAATTAAATTAGTTATTTTTTTATCTACATTTAATACTCCATATATGTGTCCAAAAATTTGATGTGATGAAGAGAGAGTTAAAAAACTTGAAATCTAAACAAGGCCCACGATTCCATTCCATAGAATATCTATGCACGATCCGACGACAAAAACCATCCGGACTAAACTTAGCGTTTGTTTAGTTCCTTCAAACTCCTAAAAAGTGCACTATGCAAAAAAAAAGATTCACTGTTACATCAAACTTGTGGTACATGCATGAAGTACTAAATGTAGACGAAATCAAAAACTAATTGCACAGTTTGCTTTAACTTTATGAGATGTAATTTTTTTTTTTAATTAGTCAATGTTTGGACAATAATTGACAAATACAAACGACATACCTCCTAGAATCTTCACTATGCTACGCAAAATTCAAACAACCCCTAAACTTAGTCCTTGTCACATCAAATATTTAGACACTAATTTTGAGTATTAAATATATATTAATTACAAAATTAATTACATAATTTGAGACCAATTTGCGAGATGATTCTAATAAACCTAATTATCTCATGATTTGACAATGGAGTGCTACAGTAAACACGTGTTAGTCATGGATTAATTAGGTTTAATAAATTCGTCTCGCTAATTAGTTTACTTCTGTGCAATTAATTTTATAATTAATTCATATTTAGCCTTTATAGTTAGGGGGCATTTGTTTCTTTAGTCGCTCCTAAAATATATGGCACATCAAATGTTTAGAGACTAATAAAGAGCATTAAATATAAATTAATTACAAAACCAATTACATAGATAGTCTTAATTTTCGTGCAATTAATTTTTTAAGCCTAATTAATTTCATTATTTTAGTCTTTCAAATCATGGACTAATTATCAAAAAAGTTCGTCACGTTACACACGCTAAACTTTTAACCAATCCTTTATCAGTCCGGACACAAATCGGCTGCAACTGCTAGCATCAAACGTTCCATGTGACCTCCTCCGTTTAACCACCGGCCGGATCAGCTCCAGCGGCTGCAGCTGCACCTGCCTCCTCCGTTTCAACCCAACGCAATGCAGTCCTCTGTGCCCGAGTGACGAGTGAAACTGTGAACCACTTCAACTCCCGCGTGGCTTTTGGTGTTGCTTGGAGCCTTGGAGCTACTAGTACCAGTACTAGGTAGCACACGGACAAGACGAGTGTACTGTTCACGAGCTCCTCCTCTTGCTCCGATCCTTGCATTCCACTAGCTTTTCCCATCCCATGGACTACATGGTGGGCAGCCGGTAGGGATATGGTCATAAGTATATACGACGACATTCCAACTGACGCCGGTAAATCAGTAATTCGTGATAAGATCGAGCTTGTAAAGAGATTAGCTCTTCTCTTTCCAGTAGATCAAAAGTTTTTAAGACTCTCTCAACCCCCCACCCCCCGTATGCCGTCTAATACTAGTTTAGAGCTAATCATTACACAATCTAATAATCATGTTGTTCGTTCGTTGGTTTCAGTCAGGACTTATCAGCTATGATACAGTGTTTTTCTCTCACAACAAACCAGCACCAGCCGAGCTTATCAGCCCAGAAACCAACCAGCGAACAGGCTGAATGTCCTTAGAGGCGACAACCAGATGGATTAGGACCGCATTAAGGGTTCGCATACCCGCACCTAAAACAAGATAAAAACCTGGCCCTGGCCCCGAACATTGGTTCGGATCCCGGTCCCCAGCGGGATGGGTCCTAAAACATGTTTACGGTATCATAATACTTCATAAAGGTTATTCTCCAACCGAGAGGTCGAGAAAGAGTGTGCTTCGTTCATGCGTTGCCCACAATTTGCCACGCCGTATATTAGGCATACCACCGCAGTTTTTTTAAGCATATGTTTAGTTCACGCCACAACTATATCATGCTAAACTTTCTTAGTCATATACCTCATATGTCGCAGACTCGTTTTGATGCTAAACTTTATGCCACAAGTGTGGAATCTGATTTGTTGGCAACACTTTCTATAGCTGCGACACTTTGCCTAACTTTATTTGCGACAAAGTTAGGCATCAACCGAACAAAACCAAACAAAACAGCTCGTATCTTTCATACTTGCTCGTCGTCCGCTGCTCTGGACGTTAGCTAGCTTCCATGCACCCATTCTGACGAAGCAAGCTAGAGTTGTGGAGGCGATTCGGGCAGGCCGAATAACCTTTCGAGGAACGGCCGGGTTGCACGCCCCCAAGCAGAAGTTGACACCAACGTAGGAGCATGTCGCTGTCATCGGGTCCGTTTTTTGGCGGGCATGCGAGGGGACGTGCATGAAAGCGTGGAGATATGTTATACGTACGGGCACCACCGGATCTTGATGGCTATAGTGCGCCGGACAGCGCTGAGCGAGGTGTCACTAGTTAGGAGTAGCTAGGTCAAGTAGATGGGAACGAACACAGCCCATCTCGCTCTCGCTTTCGCGCGCGAAGTAAGCGCATGCATGCAATGCAATAATCCGGCGCCGGGCGACATGGATGGACGGCCCAACCCCAACCACGAGTCCACGACTACCACCTTGCCAGCAAAGAAAGTTCAGCGCACGCTAGCTGCCAATCCAACCGCGCGCATGTATGCATGCCCAGCCAGCCAGGCATCTCACTATGCGCCGGCCTGACCAATAAGGCATGCAGTAGCACATCTACCTAGAGTTTGGTTACACTGCAGCAAGCACAAGGAGACCACTAGAGACTAGAGTCAAATAGACGGCTACATCTGCTCAAAAAGAGCTGCTTATTCCTCACATTTTCCTCCAGTAGCTTCCTGAATTGGCATAGCACCTGATAAAATATTTCGTGTGAAAAAAATGACCTTATACATTCACGAATCGTCGCAACTGGCATACACCTTCAAGTTCTATCAATGGCTTTGACTGAAGTTCTTAACAATTGAGTAATATATGTCGTCTGTAAAACAATGACAAAGTCCAAATTCTTCATTTGCCAATCAGCCACTGCCCATTAGGGACAACGACGTCGGATCTTCAGGTAACCAAACTTCCCAGCTCCTGGAGACGACCCGTCGAAAAGAATGGGAAGATACCCGGTCTCAGCCTTGTATCTGCGCTGAATCTGAAGGTGCAAGAAAATATCGGTCTCTGTCATTCTATCCTGACAAAAACCCAAACGCCAAATGAAAAAAAGGGACTCCGTGAAGCTACCTCTGCAATCTCTTCACTGCTCCTGGCGCAGTTCTTCCCGATAACACATACTGTGCCACCGGAGCCTCCGCCAGTGATCTTTGCGCCAAATAGAATAGGGCTTCCGCCCTCGGATGTCTTCCTGTGTTGCATTTCTCGTACCAGATTGACTAGTCTGTCAGTCCCGTCAGAACCAAGGCCACACGCGCTGTAGCTGTTGTGGCACTGCCAGAAATATGTGAAGAGAAACACGTCAAAGGTATGCAGTAGCAGTACAAACTACAAAGAAGAATATTACCAGCAAAGCACAATTTCCTCAACTTAATGTTTACACAGTGAACCTCAGTTGTGCAATAGGAGTAGAGAAAGGTGCATCGTGATGAGCAGACACTCAAATTAATTCACCTGGTACATAAGTTCTCCAAGGGCTGACAGTTGCTCATCTGTATTACCAGCCTCTAATAATGTTTTGAAGGCCTACAGACCAGAAATTAAAAGAATGTCAAGAGAGAAAACAATGAAATACTCCCTCTGTCCCAAAAAGAAAGTTGCCTAGGGTTTTGTGCAGGTCAAACTTTCATAATTTTGATTAAGTTTGTAGAAAATATTAGCAACATTTATATCTCCAAATAAGCTTATTATGAAAATATATTCAATGATTAATTTAATGAAACTTATTATGCACCATAAATATTGATAATTTCTTTTATATAATTGGTCAAAGTTGAAAATGTTTTATTTCTCAGGAAAGGAGAATGACACTCTTTGCGGGACTGAGGGAGTAGTCTTCAACAAAGGGGAATCAAATGAAAGATCATTAGTTGCATAGTTTAGTTTCTTGGGGTTAATTTACAATTTTCTGCCACTTTGGATGGCAAGAGGACACCATATCAATGCTATTGTTGCAGCATGGTTCAGGAAAGAACAAAACTTTGAAATGGTTCCCACCATAAATGCTTTTCCAATTCAGAAAATAGATTTGGTAGTGTAGAAACAAATAATAGAAGGGCAGGCTTGGTGCAGTGGTGAGAGCTGTCTCATTGAGTCACCAGGTCACGGGTTCGAAGCAGCCTCTCCGCAGATTTTGCGGGGGAAAGGCTTGGCTCGGTTTTTCCCTTCCCCAGACCCCACTCATGTGGGAGCCTCCGGCACTGGGTCTGCCTTTTTTTTTAGAAACAAATAATCTGGTCGAGAGATTTAACCTCAACACGGAAGTTTTCATATATGGGATGTCTAGTTGGAGCCTTCACACTGTAAGATCTTTTAGGATCAATAACTGTCACTGTGTCGTTGTGATCTCCATATTTCTCTGAAAATGCTTCTCCACTAATCACCTCTGGAATGTCTTTTGCATAAACAGCTTCATATCTGCAATTGGGATTTATTACGATCCATGCAATACCAGAACCATAAATATAAATGTTGAATTCACTAAATGTGACCTGTGAGGTGGTAGGTTGCACAAATACTCCAGTGCAGCTTCAGATTTCAGTACACACATACCATTTTCTTTATAACAATCAGACTGAACAGGGGGGCCTGAAGTCAAGGACTCTGAAACTAAATCTGATGCTGCACACTTGATCATCTTTCGTCCCATGTAAGTGCCTACCCTTACAGATCCATAATCTCCCCCACCAACACTAACAGTTCAAGAGAGATTAGTTCTGCAATTAGCTCCAATTTTTCCAATAAGACAATTAATGTCTACAATCTCCACAACACAAGCTCAGTTAGGAAAAGCTTCCTACCTATGCCGTATCCCTGAATCTAGACCCCAGAACCGTATATGAGTTGGTATGCTAACCAATTCCTTCACTTCTGCAGGCTGCAGGAGAACTGATTAAATAAATACTGAAGCAACATTAATTTTTGACTGGAGGAAAGGTAGGATCTATCAGCTTCTGTACTATGGAACTAATAAACAACACTAACCTGGCAAACCATTGCCAGGAGTTTATTAGTTTCTCCACATGCAGATGCCATTTGATCCATTACCCCACAAGGAGCTCCAACTACATGATTCTCAACCTGAAAAAAACATTAGAGCCATAAAAGACCTGTCGATCTGTATTCTATCACCAGATTTCAGTTAAACATCATACCTTCTGACAAAGCAAAGCAAGATCCCTTGGTATGATGTTTAAACCTATAGACAAGTAAAAAGGAAACCATCAACGATGCTATTCAGAGATGACATGTCTCAGGGTTCAGGATAGGCTAAATAACCAATGTCAATCTATACCATAGGCTGCGGCAATAGCAGACATTGTAGCAACCTCCACTGATGCAGAAGATGAAACACCTTTTCCTTCTGGCACGGCAGATGAAACCTGGAGTTTTAGAGCAGAAAGAAGACAAGGAACTGATTAAGTGATTACAGGTTTTTACATACGCAATTGCAGGATAATGAAAACTTGAGTGATTACCAGAATGCTAAAGCTGTCAGTGAACTGGGCACCAAGTTCAGTCATCAAAACTAGAATTGTTCCAGCAACATAGGCAGCCCATCTGAGATAGGATAGTTCAGATCACAAATATGCAAATATAATTGAGTAGTTGAAATTTTGTACTGAAATACTAAAAGTTATTTTCATACTTTTGGGATGGATCCTGACAGAAAAGCTCTCTGGCTTTCTCATAGGATATTGGTTTTCCACCATCCATAAAATCTGACAGGTCCATATTAAAAGTTGGTGCACGGTTACTCAAATCAGAACCAAATGATACCTGTGCGACAATCATGTTCACAATAGATAATAAGCATTGACAAGTCATGGGAGTCCATACAAATGCTATGCAAAACAGCCAGATCAAAAGAACAACTACTTGGCAAGAATGCGACTATACTAAAGTTTAAATTAGCCAACAAAAGCACTATTATCATGCATCTAATATGCAGCACCTACATGCCCCGTCCAATGGAGGTGGCAAATTTTTTAGAATAGATTACAAAGCATGAATTATTTGAACAAGTTCAACATACAATTTGTACCACAGGCACCAAGCCTGCGTTCTCAAGCTGTCTTGCTTTTGTATGTTCCCAAAGCTTCTGCTTGCTGGGATGGTTTCTCTGAACAGCAACATGGCAGGCTTCCCGAAGGGGCATCTAGTAAATGCATCCAAAATATCAACCACAACTGCCAAATACATGATCCAAAAAAAACTGCATCTATGTTTCTTTCCAGTAGTTAATTTATTTATTTATCTGTGGCATCAAAGGGAATTCCAAAAAAGAAATCAAGAATACAGAAAATACAGTAAACATCAAGATTCAATGAAAATCGAGGTTCTTGAATGCTACATCATCATATTGAACAGTAGCAAACTGATTTTGCAAAAGATGGGAATAGCATAGAATCAAATATTTATGAGTAGAGTATTCAGCTATTAGCTAAACTTATAGCACTATTTTGTAAAAGGAATCTATTTGACCTGTGATTGATCATACCTGCAAAACGAGACTTCCTGAATAATCAGCAATGCCACCCATGACGTCCAAACGTCCAGGTGCCCTTGCTACATATATTTCCGTCTACAAAGGAACAAAAAGGGAAGTCATTATAGCAAACCAAAAATTCATTCACCATTTTCGAGTGACTTACTTCAGTTATTCAAGTACATAGCAACAAGCTAATGAAACAAATCAAAGTAATCAGTTATCAGAAATGAAGTTACATGTATCCATGGAAAATACAAGAAAAAAGAGATGAATCAAGCAAAAGAGAGATTGGTGAAGGAAACATGTTCATTGAAAACAAAATGGTTCTGAATTTTATACAATAGAATTTGCGATACAAGTTGAAACAAGAGGATCTATGTAATTCATCCTCTGTTATTAGAACTCCACTATGTCGTGTTTTATGATATAAAGGTTGAAGTCTAACATGGCTGATTGTCTCGTGAATCAGAAAATCCATCTCTCCTGTGAAATAACAAAATGAGCTATTATACGTTTATTTGTACCCAAAAAGTATCATAGGATAACACGATTAGCAGTTGGAAATGAAACTTTAAAGGATAAGAAAGTTGGTCTACTTGCACAAATTAAGGAATCATCTTACTGTACATCATTGCAACTTTATGGAACCTAGCTATCCTACATTCCTATTAGGGGCTCATGTTGGGTTTCAACTCTAGCCTACCCCAACTTGCTTGGGACTAAAAGGCTTTGTTGTTGTTGTTGTTGAGCTATCCTACATTCCATTTCCAGATATGGTATGCATGAAGCTTTAATGCTGCTGCACAGGGTCCTACAATTCACTAAAATGAATACAGAGGACTGCCAGATTAGTACCTCCCAGTCAAAAAGAACAGATGCAGCAGTTCTCTCTAGGCATTGCTTCTTGGGGCTCATCAAATCATTTCCACTAAGTTCAGATAAGCTCTTCAAAATGTCTATTGTATCTGTTAATCCTTGAAGGTCCCCATGGAGTATCTCAAAGTCTTCAATACATCTGGATCTGGTGAAATCAAATATGCAATTTCAGTTGCAAAATATTTCATTGCAAAACTGAATGTCTGACAAAAACAAGAGAAAGGGTACTCACGATGCTGCACTTTCCTTTGTAGCAACATTTTTTGAGGTCGGACCAGCACCAATTTCAGTTTCAGACAGAGAGTACCAGTCAGGAATGCCTGCATCTCTCCCAGGAGCCCTTTGAAGCACATATCCTGAGACCATGGCATTTTGCAATCTTCTTGCACCACTAGACTATAATTAAAGATAGCCAAGTTGGCTCATGTTACAATCTTAAGCAGGGTTTTAAAATATTGCTTCCATCTCTAATTTTCTATGGGCGTTCCATGTTTAATATATGCTGATTTTACTTGGCACAAAGCATAAGAAATTTTCAAAGAGGTCGTTTCTAAAAGAAGATAAATATCTTTCATTAGCATTTCCTTTTTCATCAGTCACAAAATCTATAAAGCTCCAGGATGAAAACAAAGTTTCGTAGGTGGAAGTGGTAGGTACGGAAATACGCTGACCACTCAATGGTCATGCAGAATCACTCACTTTATCAGAAATACATTTCTTTCCAACAGCAGTGTCCTGGAGGATCTGGGCAACCACCTGAATGGACAAAGTATTAGCCTATCCACAAATAATATAACTTCCATAGGATACAGATAATTTGGTTTGCAAAGCTCAGTATTATGATGGAAGTCCAGTATTACATTTTTATCCTGATGTCGACTAAGGCAGCTGGTTTTGCATAAATGCAAATGTTATAATACAATTGAGTACAGAAATAGTTTGATTTCAAGTTAATTCGGACATAATAACATCAATAGGATATTGGGTATATGTAGAAAAAATTACCTCACCACCATTTATTGGGCCATTGTAGCATGGTTGAAGTGTGAGAGCACGAAGTAGGTATGGTTTCCAGTGTCCAGCAAGGAAATCACTTCTGATCATCTCAATGCTGTTTTGGTAGTACTGAAATAGAATGTGATGGGACAAAGCATGAAGGCATTTTAACACATCTATATAGACATGAGTTCTAGCATAATTCAATGATAAGAAATGTTTCAACCTCAAGCAAATTTCGCAAAAATGGCTCTTCGTTAAAGTAATCTCTGCGAACGAACACTAATGGCAGCTTGCAGGCCAAAACCTCACTTGCAGTTCCATATCCAATTTTTCCTATAAACAAAGAGAGTAAGTATATGCATCTAGCAAGAAAAGCAAAAAGCTCGTAGCTAGACAAACATTAGTGCAACATATAATATTTTGATGTACCAAGCATACAGTCAGATGCCGCCATAACATCAGGTGTGTAAGCATCTTTTGCGAGCTTAATAAAGTTCGGTGGAACATCTTGAGAATCAGAAGCACCACAGACCTTCCATGAAGAGGGAGCTAAGTTTAGTCAATCACATCAGTTAGTCACTTTTCAAGGGATATAATATAACTGTACTCTAAAATACAGATACCAAACAGATCCAACCATCAGGGAGCCATTCTTGCTTCAGTTTCCATCCTGCTGGCTGGGAACAATGACGCACTGATTATTTCATTATGTTGGTGATAAGTTTTGTGTAGTTCGCATAAAAGCTTAGAGCATACAGGATAGAGGAATGGATCACTAAGCTTTTGAAGGAAGCATGCTACATATAAAACTTAATGATGATGTGTTCTGCTAAAAATTAGAAGGAAGTATAATGATAATTATTCAAGTATTGCAGGGACTTCATTATAAAATGTTGTATCTGGGTAATAACTAATCATAATACTTCCAAGTAACTGAAAAGACATTGCTTTTGATTTAAATAATAGGTAACGAGAACCACTTCATTGCAAATAGGCTTTGACTACTGAAAGAATCAGAATCAACAGATATTGGTGCAGAAGATACATAAGCACTTCAAAAAATAGCCACATAACATTACCACATGAGAAAATAGAAACAAATGCCCTAAGCTTTAAAAACCACCTATATGATAAGTGACCCACCTGTCCCCCAAAATTAAAAACGAGCACCTTAGCATTCTCCTCAATTCCAAGTTCCTTCCTCACCTAATAGATCACAATTGAAACATGTGAATAAGGAACAAAGAATTTTGTCGAGACAGAATATCTTTCTCCAGCAGAATACAAACCTCAGATCTAGATTTTCGCAATCCTCTGACCACAAGAGGCACATCAATGACATTGCAAAAGGCCGGCACTATGGAATGAAATAATACTCTATTTTCTTGAAAGCCGAAAAACAGGGAATACACAATTTTAAGAAAAAAGAGTAACCAAATATAGTTGAGCATACTTGGGCCATATCCAGGTAGTCAAAGTAATATGTCACAATAGGAGTAATCCTCTGCTATCTGTATATATAGATATATAGACGAGTTAAATGATTACTGAAAAAGTAAAAGTGTACATTGGCAGAATATAGATGGTACTAAGACAGATTGTGGTGAGTCAGGGTACATGCAAATGATCTATTAGGTACTTTCATAAAAGGGGAACTTATGATCTGACATGGTAAAAACTAAAAATATTACCTGCCAAACAATAGAACGGTGATGATATCCAGCCTCCATGATGTATTCAGCATATATGAAGTCCCAACTGCAAAATGCAAACAGTCAGACAAAAGGTAAACTTCAGAGCGCAAGTCCCAAATGCAAACAGTATAATGAAGGTGAAGCACACCTAAAATTCCCAATGCATACAGAGCAGACGCCCAAATCTGAAGCCACCCTGCACACAATAGGAACAACATCCGAGACCTGTCCCAAAAGCACAGCACAGTTCACTTGAGAGTTCCCACACACGACACCTACATCCATCAATTGAACGCTGACGGAATGTCTGATCACCGAACAGCACTAGAGACTAGACCACTAGGTCTGCCTTGATGGAGCTCAGCCACTCCGCCTCGGCCCTGAGGATGGACTCGCGGGGCACCACTGCTGCCTCACGGTACTGCATTTCGCAACCGGAGCATCAGGCGGCAGCCATACGACACGGGGAACGAGGAGGGGGTCAGGGATTGCGAGGGTAGTACCTTCTCTAGCGTGGCGAGGGGGTCGACGGTGAGGGCATCGGCCTGGACGGCGCCGCAGTCGAGGATGGCCCTGCGGATGCGGAGGCGCGGCGACCGCACCTCGGCGGTGAAGACGAACTCCGGCACGGCCGTCGCCACGTGCACCTCGTGCCCGGCCGCGATCAGGTGCCGCACCACCTACGATCCGCGGAGGCACACAAATGCAGGCAAAATTTTCGGAGCTGAGACTTGGACGGGGAAACGAACGAGCGACAATGCCCGAGGCGAGACGGCGAGAGGGACTAACTGACTGACCTCGATGGCGCGGGTGGCGTGGCCGAAGCCGTGGCCCGTGAGGTAGAAGGCGAAGACCAGGCTACGCGGCGTCGGGGAGTGGTCGGCGCCAGCGCCAGCGCCACCGGCGGATGCCATGGCCGACGACGAAACGGAGGAGGAAGCAGCGGTGGCTTGGGATCCAAATGGAAATGGGATGACGTTGATGGCGTCGCGGCGGCGGTTGTGCCGTGACTTTTGGAGGGACCCACCTGGCGTTAGCTGGGAGTAAAGTGAGTAGTCTGACTGGTCCGAGTCGCGCAGGTCAACTACTCACTCCCACTGCAACTATTTGGATTTTGGACTGAAATGAACGAGTCGAACGTAAAGCTCTTTATTATTTTTATTAAAACAAACAACATAAGAGTACTAGGTATTTGTACTCATCGTTTTTATTAATGGAAATACACTGTAGTTTTCTTATTGTTTCAATATGAGAGTAATTTACTAGATATTTTCCATCATTTTTCTTCTTTGCGGGAAATTAATCATTTTGTTTAACCATACAAGATTCAGCATAAGCAAATAGAGATTTTTCTTAATACCAACTGCATGCTGTTAAACAAAAACATGCAGAATAAAAGTACTCTTTATTACTGGCTCTAAATGGTTCCACAATATCTATGCAATGCAATTTGAATAAAACAAATGTATCTCTAAGTAACCATTTGATCTGTATTTCTTAAAAAAAAACAATTTGATCTATGTATCTATAATTAATCGATGTGCACAACTTTGAATGCGAGACCCATCATCTCTAACTCTAAGTTAGGGTATGTTAGGTTTAGTGAACAATTTGTTGCCTTGACAACAAATTGAATAATTGCGACACCATGTACGTTCTCCAAATGGGAGTAATTTGACCTATTTGTAGCCGATGTTCATAACTTCTACGTATGTGACCATGGTGAAGCCGTGAGTACTTAGCAGGGTCAATTAACCCTATAAATTTTAGCAAATCCTATATATTCACTATTTACTATTCTCTCCGTTCCTAATTGTAATTGTTTTGGCTCTTAATTAGATACATAGTTTTTGTTAAGCCCTTAGATACACACTATATCTAGATACATAGTAAAAAACTATATATCTAGAAAAGACAGAATGACTTATAATTTAGAATGAAGGGAGTAAAATTTTTTATGTGATGATTAATGAATCTAAACCCATTATTTTTCATTCATATCTCAATGGATGCTAGGAGACCACTCAATGGAGCGATTATCCATGAATTTAGGTGGGAGGGATACTATGATAAAGGTTATTGATTAGATAATTTTTGTACTTCATGTTATCTAAAGCAACACCTAACAACTAAGCATGAGTTAGGCTTCGTGTTGTACAACCGACCCACACAAGTTCGATCATGACATATACAAGCAATCGGAGATATATAAGATGGTTTATACGAGAAACAATTTCCCACCCAACATGTTGTAATGCACATAATTCACTTAAACCAGCAATGGTTGATAGAGCCCAAGTAGGATCCCTAGATTTTCTACAAGAAGAAAAAAAAGAGAGCAATAATCGTGACAAAGCCTTTTCTGCACTTTTAAATTAAATGAGACAAAAAAAGGAGAAAATCAGCATGTTTGTTGATCGGGTGCACTGTTACGTGGATCCCCGGACCTATTCATATGATGATTTGTTTTTTTCTCCTCGAAAAAAAATCATTTATCACCAAAATTTGCATGAGCATGCATTTTTACATCATCTATCCATTAATGTGTTTGGTTGATTTTGTTTCGTGCATATTTTGATTGTTTTTTTTAGAAGTGGAAGCATGTGACCATAGGAAATGTTCTCGGATTCCTAGATTTGAAGCACTTGCCCTTGCATGGGATGTTGTTCTGTTTTTGCAATTGTAAATCAGCAGCATGTGCTTTCTGGATGGGTGTTGTTACAGGCACTATAGCTCTTGTTTACTGCAGAAGCTGCAGCATTATCATGTGTTTTTTTTGTAAGACTTGCTATTTTGTGACTTTTACTTGGTTTAAACAAAAAAAAATGTTGCAGAGATTGCAGTTCACATTTATCCAGATGAAGCAGAATCAAATTGGTATAAACTGTCAAAAATCGAGATAGAAACTTAATAATTGCAACTAAGGAAGGTAATAAGTGCTAAATTGTATAGGAAAGAAGCGGATACGACCAATTAGTATATACATCATAGGCACTTACAGATTTGGTACTTACACAGCTAGAGCTATGAGATGGCTGGAAATATCACCATCCTTGGTGGTTGGATCAACAATGCAGCAGGGAAGGAGGTAAAAGAAAACTCCATTGCTAAGAACATCCATACAAAAATGTTGAGCTATCTAAAGGACTCCAAATGGACCTGGTGAGTGGTGTTACAAGCACATGAACCATATGAAAAGAATCTTCGCATGTTCAGTTAGTGCAGAAATCTGCGCTGTGGGCACGCTGAAAAATATCCCACATTAGGAAGTCAGGCTTTGCCAAGCAGACTAGATACCTCGTCACTACATTCTTCCTCCAAGGTTGCCTCAGGACCTGTCTCAACCAAGAAGATTCAACAGCACCAAAGCCGGTGCAGTACCACGATTAGTACAAATTCTATTGCTTGTTTCTTGTATTCCTACCGTTCCAAATTATACTCTTTAGCTTTGTCCTAATTCAAACTACTTTAACTTTGACTAAGTTTTTAGAAAAATATATTAACATATACAATTTCAAATAAATGCACTATGAACTATGAAGACACGTTTTCATGGAGAACTTAATGAAACTAATTTGATGTTGTACATGCTGATGGATTTTTCCTATAAACTTAGCCGTGGAGAAGTTTGATTCAGGATGAAACTAACTATACTTTGGATGAACTATAATTAGGAACGCATTGAGTGATAGTAGATGAACAGAAGATGCTTCTGTATGACAATCAATAGCTGATTTCCAATAATCAAATATTCTGAAGGTTAAATCTCAATGGCTGCCATGAACTATACAGAAGGTGACACATAGGCTCAAGTACTTTGATTTCAACATGCCCTGGCATAATTTATACACAATTAGGCAATAACTAATTGCTTCCAAAGCTTTGAAACAATCTAAAGGATAATGCTATATCAGTAACAGTCTCCTTCAAATAATGAGGAAAAATTCAATTATGTAAAGTAAAACATTCCTCATCATGAGGAGGGCCAAATGTGCTTAAACCATCAAGCAGACGAATGGAACTGCCATACTTTAACTTTGTTCATCAGCACACAATGTCTGTACTGAATACTGATAACAACGATTTACATCATCTATCGAATCTTTGCAGCCTCCTACGGCGCATCTCATCAACTGAGAGTTCCGTGCTACCCCTGGCTTGATGATGCTGTCTCCGCAAAAAGGCATGGTCCTCTCGTGCAGTGCTGCACATCTCACAGATATCTGTGGAAACTGAATTGTCATAGGTGCATGTTGGACATCTCCAAAAACCTCGAGGGCTGTCTCTTGCTGATATGCGGCGCCCAACCCTGCCCCGACCTGTTGCGCGGCCCTGTGAACGGGCAGACCGTAGAAGATTCTGAGCAAACCTCACCGGCCAGGTCACGACATTGGCAACGCTTGAAATCAGGAGAGTGATCGGATCTGGCCCATTGAATGCACGCTTCAGCCAAAGGTAAACCAGTCCAGCAAGTATCCCACCAAGATGGCCAAGAAAGGATGTCCCAGGAATGAAAACCTGGATGAGGATCAACTCCGCCCAGGCAGCATATTTCGCTGGAACAACCATCCCGTGCAGATACACGAAATCGTCCGACCAGGTGTTCAGCACAACCTTCATGGCAAACAGAACACCAGAGAATCCAACGGCATGCTGATCATAGTACGCGGTATCGTCACCGAGCAAGAGTAAGCCTTTGGACAGCAGCAGCGTGATACCCTGTGACAGGCCAAGCAGCACAGCGACCATGGAAGCAAACTCGGCACTACCCATGGATGTCTCGAGCTGAATGCCCTTCCACAGGAGGGATGTCATGTTGTAGAAGAGGTGGCTTTCACTCAGGTGATAGAACGGGGACAGGAAGAAGCGCGTCAAGTCGCCAAACTGCAAAAATGTTCACCATAATCAGTCTTGGAGCTAGGAACTGAATACAGAGCTATATGTGATAATTACTCTTTGAGCTAGGAACCGAATGCAGAGCTATATGTGCATGTGATTGGAAAATTAAGTCGCCATACTGCAAGAATGTTCTCATAATCAGTCTTGGAACTTAGAACTGAAATACGGAGCTATTTGTGTGGCTGAAACATTATGCGTAATCATTGGGTGACGACGTCACGTCCTAGTCTCCTAGAACAGTTTGTGTGTCCTTACTCGAACTGGAGAGTCGAATTTGGGTATAACTTTGCAGAGTAAAATTCCAATCTATGAGTCGAATTTGGGCACCTCGACGATGAGCTGCGGGTTGAAGGAGACGCGCGAGAGCGAGGGCAGGACCCCGTCGAGCGCGCCGGGGCGGAGGTAGATGAGCGAGTTGGCGGCGAGCAGCGCCGCCGTGACGGGCGGGCGGGAGGCGCCCGCGCGGCCGTATTCGATGAGCACCTGCAGCGCCAGCAGGGGCAGCATCCCCCTGGACGCCTCGAGGCCGAAGTCGCGCCGCCGGGCGCTGCTCATGCCGGACCCCATCTCCGGAACGGCGGAACCGAAGCCGCGGCTGCCCTGCCCCCTTCGCACGCAAACCCTTGCGCGATTGAAGCTGAAAACCCCTCCGCCTTCCTATCGCCTTGCGGCACTTGCGGCACCGGCAAGGGAAGGCGGATGGGCCATGCGTGGCGGCGATGCAATCGAACCTTCCAGACTCCCCTTGGGCCTCGGTGGGCTCGGCGCGAGATACACGAGCTAAAACCACCTGGGCCGTGGCCCAGAAACGAAGAAGCCGGAAACCGGAGGCGTCCGTTCACCGCGCCGCTTGCGCTGTCTCTCGGCGCCGTCGCCGCGCTCTAGCCCAGGTGCCAACACGCCAGGTTATGTCAGACTTCCCTAAACCTCCTCCTAATCCTAAATTTTTAGAAAAATCCATAAAAAAATCTATCTCCAACAACTCCTAATACAATCTCCTAATATTTTAGGAGTTGAAAAAAATCTCCCTCGTCCGCGTAACTTTACGCCAACCCTCGCGTTTTCCTTCCACTCCCGCCGGTTTCCTTGTCTCCCGTGACGCTTTTCCTCCTCGACGGTTATAGGCGGCCCGCCGCGTTGCCGAAAGATGCGAGGCCAGACGCGGCGAAGTCGGCGACGCCGCTGTCGCCGGCCTTCAGCGTGCCACGCCATCGCCGAACCTCTCCTCAACGATGGGGTCGTGCGGCCCGATTCAAATCCTCATCACCCGCCGACGCCCGCCCTATGTTGAAAACCGAGCACCCAAACCCTAAATTAAGTTATTTTCCTATTTGTTCTTAGATCTATTCTACTTCATCCGTCCTAATTTACTTCATTCGTCCTAATTTATAGATCGTTTTAGGTTTTTTATAGATACATGGTCTTTCCCCTCCTTATATATTTAAACTTATATTGTATATATCTTCCTCCATCCCGGTATTATGCCTACTACGTTTTTTTTCGCCAAAATTCCCTGACTGGCGATGCTTGTTGCAGCACCATGGATGTGACCGAGGCTGCACACGATGTCTCCGCCACGTTCAAGCACTCACTAGCTACAGACCGTGCTTGTTCTCCAAATTTGATTTTTTAATGCCATTTGTTAGATACTCTTTCTTTTTTTTTCTCCTCAAATTTTTTAGGACCACAAACTACAAGTTTTAAAAAGAAAAAAGTAGAAAACTCTCGGAAATGCTCACCCAAACCCTAAATTAAGTTATTTTCCTATTTGTTCTTAGATCTGCTACTTCATCCGTCCTAATTTACAGATCGTTTTAGTTTTTTTGAGATACACAACTTTTATTATGTATTTAAACATATATTGTATATATACATGTATTATGCCTACTAACTTGACGTTTTTTTTTCGCCAAAATTCCCCTGACTGGCGATGCTGGTTGCAGCAGCATTGTGCTGGTGCTGCATGCTGTAGTCAAGCACTCACTAGCTACATTGTGCTGGTTCTCGTACGGCAGCATTCCTCATTGTGTGATATTTTTCTCTTCTACAGTTGGAACATTTTTTTAGAACGCTAATAAAATGTTCTACCTTTGTATATGAATCTAACTAAGTACTCGATATTTTTAGCAAAACTAGAACATTTTTCTTATATGAAACAAAAACGGCTCTCTTTTTTTATACACAAAACGGCTCTCTTAAACCTAGAGCATTTTTATTTTTCTTTTTTTTAGTGCACGTAGAGCATTTTTTCTTGCACGGATTACCATCACATGGGCCTTGGCCACAAACGAAGGCCTATTTGCTGGTTGGTTTTAGCTAATCTAAATTAATCAGTCAACAGTATTTTTCTCTCGTGATAAATCAGCTTACAAAACGGACTAAAACCGACCAGCGAACGGCCGGAAGTCGGAAACCAGATGGAGTCGGAACAGGCCGGAAGTCGGATACCAGATGGAGTCGGATTTGGTCGCTTTTATACGCGAGATATATGCGCTCGTCCAGGAGTCTACTACCCCTGCCTTTTCTTGTCCCGTTCACCCAGCCTGCGTTATCTCCGGCACCGCCGCCCTACGCCAGGTGCCCCGCTCTTCGCCGGCGACGAGCACCCACCAGGTATCCACACCCACTCTCCTCCCTTCCTTCTATTGTGCGAAACAGAGCACCCAAACCCTAAATAAAGCTATTTTGCTATTTGTACTCGGATCTGACCTAATTAAGCGTATACATATATATTATTATGCCTATATACCAACTTCGATTTTTTGTTTGCCAAAATTATTGGGTGCACTGTACTTGTGTACGCGCATTTGCTGAGTCCGCCCCTACCAGGTAGCAGATTTATAGTGCGGAACTGCATATATCACATAAATAGTTATCTAGCAAATAACAAATATCTTGCTGTTTTCTTTCCCAGCAGAATCTGTCCCTGCCAAATTTCGTATAACATGATGATGAGTCTCCAAAGCCATAGGTGTTTTGTGTATGGAGTCACCAATTTATCGTCTAGTAGAAATTATTTGCTGATTGCTAATGACTTCTCTTTGCTTCTGCCAGATATCTGCGAGTCAGGTTTAGCGATGGAGGCGTATGATGGGAACAAGAGCAATTGCTCTGAAGGGGTGAAGCAGCTTCCCTTGGCCATGTTTGCTGTGGAACGCAACAGCAAGAAGCGGCTGCTGTTCGATGTTTCAAGTAGAAAGATCCGAGGAGTAAGCAGCTACGTATTTCCAGATGCTACTTGTGCATTTGAGAATCGCGGGTGGCTTCTCATGATCCGACACAAACCATGCCACTTCCAAGAGCAGAGTGCGTTCCTTGTTCACCCAAGCTCTGGCAAACAGCTTAACCTGCCAGTATTCCCCTGTCGCGAACAAGGGTATGAAGGGTTCTTTGTTTTCTATGTTGGTTCTCACGGAATACCTCTAGTCGTTGCACGTTTTGAGATCTGGAGCATTGTTCCGACTGTGCACATTGCCTGCCCTGGAGACACGTACTGGAGTGCCTACAGGCATGGTGTTGAACCTCCCCACATGTTAAGAAGAATGCGCAGATTACTTGAGCGCACTTGGATCGCCGATTTAGCTTTGCTCGGGACACAGGTCATCTGCGTGGACATTAGTGGGCAAATCCTCATCTTCAACATCACTGAAATGGCCTGGGGGAGAATGGCGCCTTGTCCGAAATGGAGCCAAGAGGATCACCATTTCCTTGTCGCGTCCCACGGGGAAGTTGTGCTCGTATCACGCCCTGGAACAATGGAGAATGCTTTTAAATTCTTTAGGCTGGATATCCAAGCAATGGAGTGGTCGCAGCTGGATGACCGAGAATTGGATGACACCAGCTGGTTTCTTTGCAAGGGCCAATCCTTCCGTGTGAAGGATGCAGGCAGGAGGAGAGTCTATACATTTAGTGGTCCAAAACAGTGGAGCGTCCCGATGGATTCCTGCGAACAGACCACAAACGGAATGGCGATGGGCAGTACCGCTTGCTTCACTGGTACATCTGGGCATGATGTGGGGTTGAAGTCTATTACAAATGTGTATGCTTATGACTTAGATGATGGGACCGTCGAGATGGTCATCCCAGCATCACTCGTTACAGAAGTGTGCCACTGGGTCCAGCCAAGTATGTTTGCAACAACAGCCAAATAATCCCATATGTTATGTACCAAGCATATTATGTAGATAAAAATGAAGGCTTGTCCTTTTCCTATTCTTTTTCTATGACAGAGATGTATTATGCATGCATAGTTGTAAACAGCATCGAACTGATTAATGAATGATGATCGATGAGCAGAGGCATACTCGTATGCATTTTCTCCGTTCATGATGTTGCTGTTTAACCACAGCCAAAAATCTCATGTTATGTACCAACCAAGCATATTATGTTGATGAAGGCTTGCCCTTTTCCTGTTCTTGCATCTTTCGTTTTCCATGACAGAGATGTATTATGTACGCATAGTTGTAAACAGCATCGAAATGATGATCGATGAGCAGAGGCATATGCATATGCATTTTCTCCCTTCATGATGTTGCTGTTTAACCTGTTTTGGCTCCATCTCTTGCTGTGCAAAACACTGAGTAAGTCCGCCAGTTCGCGGTCCATGTCCAAAGTGGACGATGAGTCCACGAATGCCTCAGCAAGTCAGCAGACCGCGCTGCCGAGTCGCCCCGACTAACCCATGGCAGAGTGCGGAAATTGACGCTGTCGAGGATGGGTGAGGACGCGGTGGCGGCCGGCGTGCGGATGGGGGCTGCTGGGGACTTGGAGCGGGCATGGACTCCAAGTCTCCCACGGTCCTCTCCAACCCTACAATTCGCAAGTAACAGTAGCCATAGGTTCCACCGCAATATAAATCGGTATCTTTTTTTTAATAAACCTGGTACAACCTAAGATAATTTGGCTTTCGTCAATCTTCTTTCTTATTACAAGGTACTCTACCTCCGTTCCCTTTTAAAGTCAATCTTCTGCCGGGTACCAGTGCC